GCCTTCAAAAGATGATGCTTACAATGTAGTACGGAATTTTGTATTTTCTGACTTTAGCTTCAACTGGTAACAAGACTTTAATAAAACACAGGTATGACTAAACAGTGATATACAAACTGAGAATCAATCTGTTTCATTATCACCTGTAACATTACTTTGTGACTGTCTGAGGAAAAAATGAATAATTCTGCATGCAGTCTTGAAGAAAATACAGTGACAGCAAGAAAGACAAAACAAAAATCAACAAATGATCCAAAGCAATAACTAAAATGCAGGCTCCGGATAATGAAACACGGCATAAAATGTGATCAAGAGGCATCATTTATTCAAAGTCCCTTATCCCACAACTTTTTTTTTCCCCTTACAGAAAAACAGAGTAACATAGAAAAAAAGTGAAAAATATTTTTGGCTTGATCCCTAACAATCTTGTAATATTAAAAAAAAAAATCAATGTAAATTATCAAATTAATGTTGGTGCATTTTTTTATGCAGCAAAAGCTATTGCATACAGGGAGCTGTGATCAGTGAGGAAGACTAGTCACACAAAGTCATATGAAATGTAAACTTATAATTTAATATAATTAAGCATCATACAAAACACTAAGACATATTCATTGAAGGACCATATCCTAAAAGAAAGAAAATCTAACAGACTAAAAGGATCCTTAATAAAAAAATTCAATAAATAAGATCTATCATTGTTACACAAAAATAGAAACAAGAAAGCAAATGTCAGACAGAGCTAGGGGAATGCAGGTTAAAAAAGAGAAAAGAAAAAAAAGCCGTCTCTATCAGTTTACACCTCCCAAATCAAAACCAGGTCTCTTTCTATGGGTATTTCCAACCACAAATCACTAAAGTCAGCAAGGAAATTACTGAACAAAGTTGCACAGCCAATGTTCCTCAGAAGGTTACATAACATTATCACAGCAGCACTTCTTGAATCTTAAAAACTGTCTGTCATGAAGAAGATGAAAAAAATCAGCATAAAGAGGTCTGAGACAACAATGGTTTTTATCTTATGTTGTAATTTTCCTCTATCGGTAACCGAAAAACCTCTGAAAAAGGCTTTAAGATATATGCTTCGAAGACAAATTGCAAGTATGGTCTATGATGGAGTTAGTGGGTTACCGTTTGGCCTTGAAATTTTTCACCATTTGCTGCTTTGCTGCTTTTGGATTACTTTAATTCTAGCCCTCGCTCTCCCAAGACTGACGCAGTTACGTTTTTATACACCTAAAATCACTAATAATGTATTAATTAGTGTACTGAAAAGCACACTGAACTGAAAAGGCAATGGTAAATGAAGGTTTTGCTACTTATCCTAAGTATGCATTTATTGAGATTAAGCTATTTTAGGCAAGCTTGCAGGTCAAACCAACAAACTAGAATCTAGACGACAGCAGTGTATCTGTATGGGCTGCAGAAAGCACCAGAGAGCACAGGAATAGCAAACAGGATGACTCAAACACTGAAAATGAAATAAGCAGTATATTAGCACACACCGCTTCATGAATAACCGCATTTACCTCCGAATGAACTCTCTGTATGTGTGACTGGAGATTGCCTTTCTGAGAAAAGGCTGCCGGACAAAAGGCACAAGCGTGGGGTTTCTCTCCGGTGTGTTTGATCATGTGGGTCTGCAACGCTCCCTTCTGGTTAAAGGCCTTTCCACATTCGCTGCATTTGAAAGGTCTTTCACCTGAACCGGGAGAAAAGGAGGATGTGGGGTCAGGGGCTTTACGTAAAGGGTAGCTGCTTCCTGCGTCTAAATGAAAAATTGTACCAGTTAAGATAAAATACTGCATGTGGATATCTGTACATACATGCACATAAACACAGAAACATGTGTTACTACGCGTTTTGACAATGGAATTGTTTTTCTCGCCACCAATCTCAGCATCTATTCTGATAAAGATGTAGCTGCATAAGAAAGTTTTATGACCTAATTGATGATGGTTAATGAAACTGCGTAAAGTAAATGAAACTTGTGTGAAGTAATTACTTAGAACAGCTTCCCTCAACTTGTGGTTTGGAAGATCTGAGAAGCTGCTATGAAAAACTACCAGAGGAAAAGGAAAAATGGGTGAAAAAAAAAAAAAACCCAAAACCCAACATATACACAATTATTTTACACCAAATCCTACAAAATGCATATACCTGCACGGAAACAAGCAGAAGAGCAGAGGGTGGAATGGACAGTAATAAATAACCAACAGGCAAAAATTTAACCTTTTATTTAGTTTAAAATCAGAAAGTCTTACAGCAACACTGTAAAAGACGGCCTATCGTTCCCACTCCCCAATAAGTATTAATAGTCATTCATTCTTTACAACCACCTACTGAAAGTGTGCAATAAAATAATGTTTTCATTATATGAGATACCGTACAGCCCTGCTCAAAAAATAATTTTAAAGCCTGGAATGTTCATATTACTACTGAACACCAAAGAAAATCTAAGCAATATTGTTACAGGAATGCTCTGTCACTATTTCCTGATTCGGATGTTCCCAGTGCCATGCGTACTTACAGTTATTTGTACAGGAACAGATTAAGTATGAAAAACTCCCCAGACATTGTAAGTGACAAAACAGTCAGCTAGTTACAGAGCTGCAATTACATCTAGTTTAAAATGATTAATTCTTAATTAAATTCACATTGTTTGAAATAAAAGCAGCTATTTTCTGAAAGACTACAAGCATATAACTCACATAGTATCAACTCTGAAAGAATGTTTATCTTTTGTTCTGCTGCTTATGGCTTTTCAATATGCTTTAAGGTCTGTGGGTTTTAACAGTATATTTTTTAATATAGATTAAAATACAGAACACTGATTCAGATTTTCATGAAATACAGTGACAAAGTTCAGATCGAGCTTTCAGAAGTAAAAAGGCTTTGCTTCCACTAATAGCTGCTGGTGGACACATAGAAGTATTGCTTCAGGTTAAGCTTGCCTGTTTAAGTAAATTTCATTATAAAAACTAAGTCTTAATTCCAGAATGGAAATGTGGAATTTCTATATTTCTAAAGTGCAACTTAATAAAATGCAGATTTGAGAAGGGGAACGGGGGTTCATTACTTAGTTATTAATGTGAGAATTGCAATCCCTGAGACTCAATTTTTTTTTTCCCAAAGGGTGTAAGCACTTGAAATTAATAGCTATGAACAAGAAAAGTATTGCCATTAAGACACTAATGTAATGCTGTACATGTAGCACAGACATGCTCTTTTAACAACTAAAGACTTAAGTATTCTAAATTCTTTAGGAGCAGAGTTCTATCCTACATATTTTACAGTACCTCAAGCAATTGAGATGCCAGACAGATTGTCTGCAGATTTAAAGTAATAACATACTTCACAAATTAAATGAGTATTCACAAGCTACTTGGAACTTAAAATGACCTACCGTCATGTGCAGATTGGGACTACATTTTCTGTCTCTGGTTTCCCAATAGACAAATGGTTTTTTACTCTTCAAAAGAACTATAATTGCTCTTGAACTTTTTGAAGCTTTAGAAAAGTGTCCTCAACCAACTATCATCTTTTTTCTTTACTTCTGGCTAGAAGAAGCTAAGATGATGTATCAAATAGATACAAAACGCTAAAATAAAAAAGTTAAATTTCCATGACTTTTTTGGACATTACTTTGAGGCAAATTTTAAAGCAGGTACAAGGGTGACCTCTTGTGTTACTGTTTTATAATTAAATCATAAAGCTTAAAAAGATTCCTAAGAAAGTGTCACATAATGGAATTTTTATTTCTCCCTTGGCAAAGTCATTCTTGTACATGGTAACTCATCACATCACTGTCTGAACAGACTGCTAATACAAACAACATTGCACGTTTATATAAGTTACTACTTTAAATAGCTAAAAACTAGACAAGCAGCGATTTATTCACAAGATGGAAAATACACATACATTGCACATCACTGGAGCACCTTTAAGGACAGTTTTGTTTAAAGCCAAATTACACTATATTATGTATGTCTGGTTAAAACTGGAGAACTATTCTTACAGTCCTCTGTACACTTCAAAAACTTTTGTATTATTTTATACTTAGCATTTTTCAGTTATTTAAATTGCTTAAGGGTTAAACCAACGCTCATACTTATTACAGCAATTTTGCAAAATCCATCTGCTATTCATTCTGCAAAACTGAACAGTCACCTGCTCTTCTTCGAGTATCAAAATTACAATCTAGGCTTATCACTTCGCAAGTTTGCTTTGGACATCCTGAAAATGGCAGTTATAGAAAGTACAGAATGTACATGGCAGTAACTTCAAATAAATCAATCTAAAAACAGAAGCAAGGCCACTATGTTAGTGGTATTATTAATTCTCCTGTATTTCTACTCTTCTTGTGTTTGTAAACTTTAGAATCTTTCTCTAGAGGACATAAAATCCTATTTAGAGTATCTGACTGGCCCTTATCTAGGTATTCCAATTTTAGGGCCCATTGAAACTTTAAGTACCAAAACTGGTATTCTGTAACAAATGAAACCTGCAAAGCACTTAGGATTTCCAGATGTATATCATCAGAAACAGGTTAAAAGGTTTTTAAAAGCATATAAATTTCCTAAGCAAAGGAATTACATAAAGGGCGTTTCAAACCAACAGGTAACGAACGGCATCTAATGAGCCAGATGTATTGAGACTATTTCAAGTCCCAACTGGGAGAAAAACATTTAGCATTTCACAGATTAACTGAATTTTGTAAAACAAATGCAAACTAAAATAATTACTTCCATGGTCTTACCTGTGTGTATCCTAACATGTCGTGTTAACTGACTCGGCTTCTGGAACGTCTTTCCACAGTGAGGACAGGAATAGGTAAATCCACTTCTATCAATATTTCTGTTATAAGATCTAGTATTTGATACTCTGTAATTTAAAAAAAAAAAAAGCATTTAAATAAAATCCTCTTAATCCTAATATTCAAAATTATTTTAAAGAAGCTGACTTTATCCCATCGTTTTTTAACATACAGTGTAAATTGGACGACAACATATCAGCTGTGACAGTTAAAAACCAAACGCTGTAATTAAGTGCAATGTAAACGGAGCACTTTTCTAAGAGCCTACGAACACCAAGAATTTTACAGTTATTTCTGTATTAAAGTTGACAGTTCTTAGAGGTTCTCTAGAGACATTTTCACTGTCAATTCTGCTAGAAGTGTACAGTGTCTTCACAACTACTATTTTGGTGGGAACTTTCAACTTGGTGCAACTTTATTTCTTTTGCCTGAACACAGCAAGACTTTTGTTCTTAACTAGAATAGGAAGATCTCATGAACTAGAGCACACACACAGTTGCTGAGGTCTAACAAGAACAGGTTAAGAATTTAAGAACCCAAATATTCACCGCTGTTCCTCAAAATAAATTTTTGAAGCTTATTTTACAACGAAAAACAGGAATCAAATAGTAAGATTTCTAATTACTGATGTGTGTCTTTGAACTTTATATATAGTCACGCAGGTTAGGTCAAATGTTAACTTTTCGTAATTAATCTGAACAATATGAGAGGATTGTGTCAAATAATAAATAAATGAATTAATTAGAACGTCCATGTTTTTCCTTTCAAAATCATTTCTACTGAAACACAGAAGGTAGAGTGGCATCTCTTACACAATTCATTAACCTGCCTCACATACATGGGTTGTATTGGTACTGCTGGTGAAAGGACAGTAAAGCATCATTATGGACAGAAGTTTCTTGAATAAAAACGTAACATGCTTCTACATCTGAACTGATAAATATGGTGAATTTCATATACGGAAGCTCTGAATCCAGAAATAACCTGTGTTTATGAAAATAAACAAATAATCATGGAGCCTTTGTATCTCATTTGTATCAGAATGTAGCAGGCATAATACTCTCTCAAAATCACAGCCATCATACTAGATTCACTCAGCCATTCTTTATTCATTCATCCTAACTTACACAGAAGATGTCCACAACAGAACATGTGTGTAATATTATATAACTCGACAGAAACATAACAACTTTACCTCAATTTTCAGTTTGCAAAGGAAAATCTACAACAATACTTTTTTAACTTTCTGGAACACAACTATTACGATCTCACAACCTGCATCATCTGCTAATAAAAATAATTGGAAATACTCAGTATTTCTCATGTTTCAATATCTATTTTTCCCATTTGTTTTTTACAGAACAGACTAAAGATTAAAAGAGAAACCACCAGTCAAAAACATGAGGCTTTCTCAATGTATAAACTAATTCAATAGAACTAAGTTTTTCTTTCTTCCAACTTAAAGTAATGTTCACCTCCCTAAAAGTGAAGTTAAACTAGAGAACTGAAAGAATGGACAAAACAAATTTTCACCAAAAGTAGGGATAGTATTTATTAGGCCTGTTTTTTCCTTTCATTCTGTGCTTTTACAAGAAACTCACAGCAGGTTCTGGTGAGGACTACTTGCAGAAGATGATTAAAGCTGCAAGAACAATTGATATCCTTGCTGAAAGTAAGCATTAGGATTTTTGCAACTACAATAACTGCTAAGTAAAATTAGTATGCATTTTCTTCAATGTACTGCCATTAGCCTTTAAAATCACATATAAACACACTTCAAAAAGCACTCTATCAGAAAAACTTTGTGTTTACGAACAGGTAGAAGATAGAACTAAGCTTAGTCTGGGTGTCTAAATACAAAAACAACAACAAAAAAAGCCTCCAAAAATAATCACCTACTTTAGCAAGGCTTTTGTTGTTGTTGTTGTTGTTGTTGTTGTTGTTTTTCAAAAAAAGCCATTTCATAACAGCATACCAAAGAAAAGCAATGACCTGCATAGATCATGGTACTTTGCTGACTGGAAATGGTACTCTTGCTTCCCCCAGCTATCACCATAAAAGTAACATCTGCTCATTTTGTTACAATCTGTGATTGTCACCTTATTTTATAGTGAGTTTTCATATGCTCCTTCAGCTGTGAGGAAGTTTCAAATTCTTTTTTGCAAGATTTGCAGCTGTGGATCCTACTGCCTGCCAATTCTTGACGATGTTCTTCCATGTGTATGGACAGCTGACTCTGTAAAGTAAATTCATCTCCACACTCTGAGCAGATAAGATTCTGAAAGAGATAATAGAGACTAATTTTTCAAAAGATTCTCAAACAGCAGAACACTTGCACAAGCTTTGCTCCAGTAGATTAATGTATCCTTCTATGGACATTGGCAGCTGAAAGCAAACAGTAATAAAAGTATACAAGTGAAAAAAGTTCTGAGCCTCATAATATAAATCATAAACAATAATCACTGCAAATTTATGGTAATATTTGTATTTTAAGAAACTCCACTGAAACTGCATTCTGAAAAAGTTCATACGGCAGCAGAAACAAGCATTTCGGTACCATTCTCACCACCATTCCCTATTTCCTTGGTAGGCTAGTTCAAGGTACACACAGAAACTTACTTCAGTGCCATTACGCTATGGTCTACATAAACATTTGTAAAAAATACTACTTTCTAACCAGAAACATCTTAACTGCAGATTCAGGGATTTTACACTTTTACTGATTAAAATGATACAGATTGTCACATACTTTTTAACACTAATCCCATCATAGTTACTACTGACTTTTCTTAAGCTATCTTCACAGAAAAGACAACAGAAATAAGAAGGGACACATAATGTTTTTGATATCACTTCAACCCATTAATTTTACAGTAGTGTTAAACACATCACTTTCCAGTTACATTAGCATTCCATGTCATATAAACATAGAATGGTTTGGGCTGAAAGGGACCTTAAAGATCACCTAGTACCCAACCCCCCTGCCATGGGCAGAAACACCTTCCACTAGATCAGCTTACTCAAAGTCCCATCCAACCTGGCCTTGAACACTTCCAGGGATGGGGTATCCACAACTTCTCTGGGCAACCTGTTCCAGCGCCTCACCACCCTCAGAGGGAAGAATTTCTTCCTTAGATCTAATCAAAATCTCCCCTATTTCAGTTTAAAGCCATTGCCCCTTGTCTTATCACTACATGTCCTTGTAAAAAGTCCCTCTCCAGCTTTCTTGTAGGCCCCCTTTAGGTACTGGAAGGCTGCTAGAAGGTGTCCTCAGAGCCTTCTCTCCTCCAAGCTGAACAACCCCAACTCTCTCAGTCTGTCTTCATAGGAGAGGTGCTTCAGCCCTCAATGTCATGTCATTTAGAATGGAAATCATAATTGTAATGTTTAATGCAAAAGCATTGCCATTTCTCTGAAATTCAGAGGAAGAATCAAAGTCAAATATTGTTTCAATGAAAACTAAAAGTTCTGCATTTATTTTACTCCCTTTTGCTTTTCAAAACAATTAATTTCCTTTCTCAGTGTATCTTTATTTTACAAAATCTAAGCAGAGTTAAGATTAAATGTCTAAAAATATTCACCATCTCTTGGCAATACATCTGTTTCATCTGTTTCATGTTCCTTACTGGTGCACATAAGTAAATTCAGATAGTTTTCGTCTTGGTTCTTTTTTCAATAATTGTAATTATCACTGCAAATGGAAATGTTTTTTTAACCTCTCCCCTCCTTTTTTTTCCTCTCCTTGAATGGTCAACAAGAGAAAAAAAAAAAACAGTGTTCATCTAAATAAAGATATTGACAAGAATGTTTTAATTGAGAGGAACAAAGATATGCAGTGCTATTTTAAAAATGCTTTGACAATAAATCTGTTCTCTAAGTCTAAAAAAAAAACCCCACAAAATTCTGCAATATCACCAGACAATGTTTCCACACAAAAACTTAAAAATCTGAAGTCCTTTAATGAAATTAAATACTACCTCCAAAATGATTTGTTTTAACCTAACGTAGAGATCCTTATTACCAGACTCAAGTTATAGTGTGAGACAATAAACAAATAAATATTACTTTCTTTTCCAGGACCTACATTCAAATCTGAAAGAGAATACGCCTTATGGAAAAATATTGTTCTTATACAACAAATTTGGTTTATGACAGTCGCTTTGTACAAGTGGAGGAAAATTACCTGAAGAGAAGCTTACAATGCACAATATAATCAAGCTCATGGTCCCCAAAATTGAGAGTGTCAATTGCTCCTCAGCATTTTTCAGACACACATTATCTATGACATTAACTTGCTATTACACATATTCAGTTAAGCACCTTCCACAAACAAAAGAATAGTCTAAGAAGTATTTGAGACAACAAAAGTCTATGTATTTTTATTCACTACTGTAGAATTTGCTGTAGTAAAGCAAGGACAGGGTAAAATAGAAAAACTGTACAAAAATCCAGCAATATATCAAACCCAATAGCCTCTCTCTGGAATAGGTGATACCAGATTTAATTTTTTTCTCCTCAAGCAAATGAAAAAAAAAACACCCACACACATAGAACAAGTAACTGTTAACCTCACTGTGGTTAAATCCACCTTCTAACATTAAACAAAGGGGGCTGTTTGTACACTGATAGACAATACTTTAAATTCCCAAACTCAGAAATACTTATGGAAAGCTTTATGCCGTGGTTTAGGCCAGCCCGCAACTAAATGCCACCCAGCCGCTCACTCACCCTCCCCCACCCCCAAGGAATGAGGAAGAGAAAAAAGGAAAGAGACCCGTGGGTTGAGACAAGAACAATTTAATACTATTACTACTAATAATAATACATATATACATATATATATATGTATAATGGTAATATATACAAACAAGTGATGCACAGTGTAATTGCTCACCAACCAGTGATCAAGGCCGAGCCTGGACTAATAATCCTGAAACAGGCAAGTCTCAACACCGCAATCCCGGACAAGCGAAAGGCCCGAAAAGAGAGTGAGAGAGAGCGAGCACTCCAAGAGTCCTAGAGTGAAAGCCCTGGAAGAGCAAAGGCCCTTCTTTCCAGTCAACCCTCATTTTTAAACTGGGCGTGATACTGCATGACATGGAATACTCCACTGGCCAATTTGGCCCTCAATCCGAAATCTAAATTCAAATCATAAGGGGAGCTGTGGGCCCTTTGTCCCAGCCATGCTCCCCCCCAGCCTGTTGTGCTCCTGCACACCAGCAAGAACACGGGAAGCTGAAAGTTCCGTGATGTCTCAGCACCAACTATAAACATCAGTGCGCTATCAACGTTCTTCTCATAACGAATCCCAGACTAAATCCAAAACACAGAGCTCATCCAGCTGCTAAAAAGAAAAGCTAACTCTGTCCCAGTCAAAACCAGCACAGACAGGAAGTAACAAGAGGTCCTCTCAAGCAAAATAACCACTCAAAAAAGGGGGTAGGAGTTTTAGATAAGGGAACAGCTTCATGATGCAAGAAACTGATGGTAAGCGTGCCTCATCATGACATCTGCCACCAAAAATCCTCACTCAGACTATTACATGTGGGCTTATCAATATACATGAAATCACAGAAATTGCTTCAAAATTAAAGTATTTGTAAATAACTAGTCAGTTAATGTTCATTTATGATATGATATCTATCAAACATGCACAGATTCTCTTTGTTAGTACAGCCAGGATGGGAACACTTGCTTATGTCCAATATACTAATTTTTTGCTACTATTATTAAAACAGACTCCCCACTAAAAGTTTTACATTTCTTCTGAATGAGACCATTTCTTCAACCTTCCAATCTCAAGTACACAGGCAAGGGATTAAGTACAACCATTATGACATGTCTTTCAAAAATCTAAGTTATAAGGTTTAATGAATTACCTCTTCTTTCTCATGTAGCATTATATGAGCTTTCAGACTGGCCACTCTGGAGAATTTCTTGTTGCACACAGGGCACGTAGGATCTTCACCATTATGAGTACATTTATGAAGTGTCAAGTTGAATTCAACATTAAAAGACATTGGACACTGGTCACATCGGTGAGGCTGTTCGTTAAAATCAAAAAAAGACAAAACTCAATCTTCCCAGAAGTTACATATAGCCTAGGTGACACATACAACCATACAAATCAAAATGTTTAAAATAAAAAAGCACAAATCAAGTACCTACATACAATAACGATCCTTAGTAATACCAATCAATTATTTTCTGCTCGTTGCACCCCACTACTGAAAATGCAAATACAGCATTTCAAGAGCATATGGGGAAAGAAGGTAGGGGAACTAAAGAAAGCAGGCTCAAAACTGAGACTGTCCGAGGGTGTGAAGTTAGCAGGAGAGAAAAACTAGCAAGAGACAGAAATAAATTTTCCTACTTTAACTGAGATTGTGAACTCTTCTTAAGCAGAATAAATAACTGAACCAGCAAAGCAAAGAGATTAGTTTATGCTAGGATTGACTGTTGGAATCTGCAGAGTTTTCATTCTTTAAGAGCACCTTCACTTTTAGACATACAGGCTCTTACACAAGCGTGCAATAGCACAGTTTTAGCACTATCAACTTCCATTGTTTATACATAAACTTTACAACACTTAAACGTACATAAATAGTTCTTTGTATATATGAATCATCATCTCAAAGTCCTAAATTTTGTAATAATGTATCTGTATCTATAGCTACCTCAAACAGTAATAAAATTATTTTTCCATCACACGTAGTTTTAGCTTTGTGAAACATAAAGTTAGCAACAGAATCTATGCATCTAAGCAATGTTTCAGTTAATCAATATAAGTGTTATGTTCTTTTTATTGCTAATGCGTAGAATCAGTTTGTAAATTCCATTAAAAGAAACCCACACGTTTTCTCATCTACCTGAATATTTTATAAATCAAAGAAAATAGCTAAAATTTAAAATTAGTGAATTGAAAATAATTAAATAGCATCAAAGTAAGGTCCTGTCTCAAAGGAAACACGAGGAAACATGAAAGAGAAACTTCATAAAACTCTGAGGTTCCCCAAGTAGTAATTAATAGCGATATGGTTAAAAAAAAAAAAAAAAGAAAACTATGTCTTTTGTTAGCTTTACTTGTCAGTATATGAAAATATCAATATACACTGGTATTTCCTAAGTTATATCTACGAAAATTCATACCTTGTCATTTTGCTCATGATCCCTCATATGGCGCTGGAACTGGGTCTCTTTTGGAAAAGACAGCAAACAGATCTCACACTTACGGAAGTTAGGTACTTGGTAGGGAAAATTACTGTTCTCTATATTTGGTGTCAGAACATCATCTACAAAACAAGCATTGAAACATTTGTATGAAGTCACGTTTCATTTACTTATAATTTATTGAAAGAAAACCAGAATTCTCTGAAGCAGAAACTACTAAAACTTGTGTAAGACTCTCGCATAAGTCAACATCTAACTTCACTGGATCTTGAAGATCCCAGGCATAAACATCACTACTTCCATTGACACAGCATCAAAGGAATATATCCATCCCTCTAACTGCCAGTCGCTAAGGAGATGAATAATTGCCTTATCCTAGTAATTTGAAATAAATTCTTTCCGTGCTTCATAAACACCCATCAAGTTTGCACCAAAATAAAATGCTGCCAAATACACTAGGTATGAGAAAGATACTGCCAGGGGTTACTTTTCATAATGTTACATCATGTGTTTCTAAAAAAAAAAACATTTTCATACAATACAGTCAGCACTTCTGACTACACCAGTTTTCTGCCCCCCTCACTCCTTTCTCTCTCTTTTTTTTTTCTTAAAGAAAAAAAAGGCATCTTTTCTTTTTTCTACTTCTGGCAATGCAAAACCTATGTTGGTTACCTTTTCAGTTGTAAAACCAACACCAATGTTTCAAATAGCTGAGAAATGCAATAAAATGCCAGTCAAACTCTGTACACATGAATTCAATGGAGAAAAAAAAAGATTATTATTTTTTCAGCAGACACAGTTTAAGCCCTCACAGTTTTCTCATTTTCCCACAGTCACACAACTTTTGATATATGAGTTGCAAGCTTCTGTATCCTCTTGCTCAAATGGCTGAAGCCAGCCCTATCAATATTTTTCTTATATCTTAAATATTCAGGCAACTTAAATAACTTAAATTTTACACTTGAGAAGATACTGTATTACTAAGGAAGTTATTTTTACTGAAGAAAAACTTTAAGAAAAAGAATTGGCAGGAGGAGTTTAAATACGTAAGATCACTCAAACCAGTATTAATAAAAAGAAAAAAAAAAATCAATTGACTCATGCTACAGATTAAGGACACTAAAGAGAAAAAAAACACCATAGAATTCAGTTTCAAACACTGTCACAACTCCCAGTGCATCAACAACAGAATGCAACAGGATGCAAAAAATAGGGAATGTTGATTCTATTATCTAGACAAGCAAGGCTTGATGTTTCCCTTTAACAAAGTCAGTACTTCTCACCATGTGTGTAAGGATTAGGCATAGGAAGTAACAACACAACTAGAAGTTTACAGCATCCTGTTTACATTTCCTTAGAGGAAACCAAAGATGATTCATATACTATCTTTGCTCAGTACTGCACCTACCTCAAAGTCCTGTCTCATTCAAGAAAAAAAAAATAAACAGTTCCTTACGTCCTGACCACCCTTTTTTCCTGCTAAAATTCTCATAAACAAACTTGAAAAGCTTGTAGTAGAGGAAGTTCTAGAAAATATTTCCGCACAAGACATTTTGGGTGTGAAATCACAACTAAAACCAATGTCCTGGGGACTTATACTTCCCATTTCTTGACTAAATAGCCCAATTAACTTTTGCTTTGCAAAGTTTAGTTGTGCATCCTTCTGTTAGAGAGAATTAACCTGCTTAAGAATCACAAATCTTTAACACGTATAAACGTAAACCTACTGCATCCTTTGAAGAACTCTCAGCTGTAAATTCATGGTATATGCAAACCCTATTAATAAGAGGTATCCTTTCCATTCCTGAAACAGTCACAATTCCTCAAGAGCTGAAAAGCACAGCTTTAATTACACGACACTGTCCTTTAAGCGTCCTTGCGATAAATATACCTGAGTAGAATAAAGGGCACAAAAACAGTTTCTGTAAATAGTGGCATGACAAGAAAAAGACAGGTGACAGAAAAATCTACTCCAATACTTGGACTACATGAAAACTTTATTCAAGAAGTTTTCCTTTCCTCTAGAAAAAGGACTTTAAATGGACAACTGAAAAATGATCCAATAGAGTAATTGTTCACACCCATGAGAGCCTGACCTCCCACTTTAAATGGACAACTGAAAAATGATCCAATCCATGACTTTAGAAAAGCCTTTAAACCTCCATGAACCAGAGAGACAACTATCTTTAGACATTCACCCTCGAGATCAAAGACACCGGACAACACACAAAAACAATGCCTAAGCAACTGAAGTAGCAAAAGTATAACTTTATAACATAAAGGTGGTAACTTTTCTAGGATTTGAAACACAGATAAAGCAACATGCTCACTAGCATTTGAATGACATTACCAAGTGACTTACTTGTAGGTCAGTAACATTTCTGTACATAACTTTTATTAAAATGTGTATCTCATTTGTATCAATCACAATGCTGATTAATCTACTGGCTATGAATTTTCTTCTGGAATTCAAATAGGACTTTAAATTAATTATATGTTAATGAAAAAATAAATACGCTTGTGATGTTTCAACAGAATTTCAGTGATAACTGTAAGTGTATGAAACCAAACCACACGATGCACAGAGATACACAGGAAGAAGATATTTCAGCTTCTCTTTAAAAAGAAGTAAACGATCACCACTAAAATAAACAGAAAGGGGTAAAAAAAGCACAATCTTAAAAATATTTTATAAGAAAAAACAGAAAAACAGCCTAAACTTTAGGAAATGAGGAAGTGAGCACATCACACGCTGTGTGGAAGCATCAGGAGTTTCTCAAGACTAGTTCATGGGTGAATGTCATGGTTTGATGTGAGAGGGGAGGTTCTGGTGGCAGGAGCTGCCCACCAGACCGGACTCCCATCCCCCTCGGGGCTTGAGCCAATCGGCGCCTCTGCGAATTGCCCTATTTACGTCGGGACAAAGGAACCGGGAAGGTGTGTGCCTTTGCCCAGGAGCGAGGAGAAGGGAGGGGGGCGCTGCCCCCGCTCCCCGGTGCCGGGCCGGGCCGGTGCCACCCGCTGAGGATGACGGCGGTGGAGCCGCTTGGAGAACTCGGGGAGAGCCCTCATAAACCCTGAACTACCTGCAAGCCTTTCCACCTTCCTAACAGCCCTAAGACTCCAAGAAAGAAGAAATCATAGAATAGTCTGGGTTGGAAGGGACCTTAAAGATCACCTAGTCCCAACCCCCCTGCCACGGGCAGGGACACTTTCCACTAGACCAAGTAGTTCAAAGCCCTATCCAACCTGGCCTTGAACACTTCCAGGGATAGGGCAGCCACAGCTTCTCTGGGCAACCTGTTCCAGTGCCTCACCACCCTCTGAGTGAAGAATTTCTTCCTTAGATCTAATCAAAATCTCCCCTCTTTCGGTTTAAATACATTAACCCTTGTCCTAGCACTATATGTCATTGTAAAAGGCCCCTCTCCAGCTCTTTTGTAGGCCCCCTTTAGGTGCTGGAAAGCTGCTAGAAGACCTCCCCAGAGCCCTCCCCAAGCTGAACAACCCCAACTCTCTCAGCCTGTCTTCATAGCAGAGGTGCTCCAGCTCTCCAACCGTCTTCATGGTCCTCCTCCAGACCAGCTCCAACAGGTCCATGTTCTTCTTCTGTTGGGGGCCCAGAGCTGAACGCAGTACTCCAGGTGGGGTCTCACTAGAGCAGAGTAGAGGGGTAAAATCACCTTGTTCCACCTGCTGGCCACACTTCTTTTGAGCATGGAAGGCATACATTTAGAAAGCACACATTTAGAAAATTCATTGCTTACATCTGTAACATCTTCAGCGTTACTCTTTCAAATAAAATCTTTGTAACTCTTTGCAAAGCCAAATGTTATGCTTTTTTGGTCCTATCTTTCATGTTGCCAAATAGCAAAAGAAAGATGTTTGGGAGTCAGGACTGGATCCTAGAATTAGCAACTGGAGTGCACAGTCCAGCTTGACTTGGCAGAGGACTCTTACTGCAGAAATCCTTAATAAGGCCCAGCAAATCAATTTAGGTTAGATTCCAGAAATCTTCAAAGGCTCAACTATTGGAAGATCAGGCTAAAGACTGTTCTACGTAGTTACAGCCCATATGAATAGAAAAAACAGTTCAGTTTGGATTTAAAAGAACTATGAAAGTTCAATTGTTTCACTTTCACTCACAGGGCAGGACTGAGATCTAATGCAGATTAAAATTAAAACACAAATTCATTTACTCATTGGCACTATGTCCAAAGTAGTTTAAGGGAAAGATGAGACTGTAATAATCTCTTCACTTGTATTCTCTCTAAAATAGTTTGGTCATCTCTCACCAGCTAAATACTGGGTATTTCGGAGTTGCATAGCTCCTTTCTATCAAAGATGCAGAAAGTGACTTTTTATTTTATTCTTCCAGCAGTAACAAGAAGAGGATTAAGAACAATATCGGTGCTGAAATCAAGCAACTGGATAACAGCAAGGACAAAAATATTACATTGTGGCTAGAATTGGGAAGACAGAAAAACAGGAAAGAAATTGCCAGTTAAGAAGGTAACTAGCAAGCGAGCTGTATTTTAGCTTTTCAGGCAAGTGTCAGAGACTCATAAAGTATGGCTTGGGTCCATCTTCATTTCAATATAAAAACAAAATAACAGTTTGACAGATTTTTTTATTAGAAGCATTAAAAACCAGACAAAGACACTATTTACAAAATGTATTTACAAAATACATTTATATCGTAGCAAGTCAAAGTAATAACCTACATTAGCGTAGTTCAGGGAAACCAGCAATAAAACCCAGTTGTGTAATCATCTTTCCTTATATCAGAGAAAAAAAAAAATGCCTTTAGATGTATCAGCTTAGACCACAAAACAAGCCAAACATGGTAAAATACTGAACCTATCTTAAAGGTGGATATTTTTGAATACTAAAACACACGTAAGATGACGCCAATTGAAGAAGTTAGCAGTGGGACATGGATCCTGTACTTTTAAATGTACTGCTAAAGTTGTTAATTTTTTTAAAAAAAACAACCTCTAAATATTCCCTGCTTATCAAAGGGAAAAAATAAAAACACTGACCTATGTGACACAGCATTTGATGGTCACAATTCACCATTTACCAGATTAGCAACCTTATCATAAATAGTTAATAT